AACAAAAGTACATTTGTACAAATGTACCTTTGTCCAAGCACTTAAAAAACACCAAGCACTAGTACAATTTTTAAGTGAACAAATGACAGGAATTCCTGCTCTTATAGAGGTTACAATTAAAGGAGAGACATAACATTTTAAACATATGACCTTCCCATCACTTGGAAGAAATTACATCTGCTATTGTTATTATATTTGCAAGATACTTCAACATTATTAAATCTTAATAGCAGAATTACAAATTATTATTCCTGTGGAAGAATGCTGACCTATGTATCACAGTTTATAGATTTTCAAGTAAACAATTTCTCTATTTTTATATTAAAGATAATCTACAAATCAGCTGACAGACTAGAATTCTAATACAAAAAAGAAATAGTACGTGTCTAATAGATTGATGTACTTTTCAATTTATTATTATGGATGTTTTCAAATTTGTATAAGGAGGAGAAAATGCTACACAAACTAGACCTACCACAGATTCAAAATTTTAGTTGGTTGATCCTTAAATCCATTTTCCTCTATAAGTTCTCCCTTCATCCTTCTCCTTAAAAATTTTTAAAAGAAAATATATAATAACTTTTTACCTGTATTCACATTATACCTAACTGAAAATCTTGGTTTTAAATAGCATCATGGTAATTTTTCATTTTTATTTCACACAAGACAAAAATACCATTCTCAGATTAATTACAGTAATACTACCATGAATACTATTTCTTTGTCATTAGGTAACCTCACTAAGAAGGTACAAATTTCTGTTTTAAAGAAAATATCAAGTGTACCATCAATTGGGTACTGTTTGGTTCATTAGACTCAGTTTGACTTGATACTCTAAGAGATTGAATTTATTTAGTTAGTTGCAGAATTAATTATTTAAATAAAATGGTTCTAAAATAAAAACATAAAACAGATATATTCCCTGATCTCCAGTCATTCCTTTTTCATTAGCAATCAGTAAAACAAACAAACAAACAAAAATAAAACATGGTATGTTCCTTTATTCTTTAATATAAACACTTGATATCTGTGAGTGTGTATGTATGTATTTGTATTCCTACCCTTTCTCTTATATAAGTGATAACAAAGTGGTAACCACTTTGTTAGACTTTCATTCACACTAAACAAACAAAAAAACCTCACAATTTATAAATCCAAGCCCCCATTCATGATCATTTGCATTATTTTTTATCTTTTGATACTATGAACTGAATAGTACTCTAAAAACATGTTTCTACATATATATATGTTGAAATTTTTTCCAGTGTTTCTAAGATGGATTTCTACAAATGAGATTGCTGTATTAAAGGGTAAATGCACATATAATTTTATTAGAAACTGTCACATTCCCTTTTCTAAGTCTCAAAATGTACTATTATATTCTTGAAATCAATCAGTGTTTTCTTATGTTCACTAAAAAATATTATTACCAATGGTTTACAAAATACCTTATGAAGAAAGAAATACCCACACACCCTTTTTACATTGTGCTTTTAGTTTCAG